GAGCAGCAGGAGATTTGTTAATAGAAGTGTCCTGATGTGTGTAGAAATCAGCAACAGATGGGCTGACCACCTCACCTCAAACTGCCAGCTAGTTTTCCTGTGTATTTGCCAGTTTTCTTTAAAGACACTCAACTCATCTTCCACATCACTGTGAAATTAAGCCAACTGAAGATTTGTGATAGCATGTGTACAGGGAATATGTTCTCCTTGGAAGTCTTGACATTTCTGTTCAGCCAACTCCCTTCTCTGTACTTCTTAAAGAGAAGGCTCATTTTCTGTTAGTCCTGCTAAACATGGCACTCACCAAACCTGAATTACTTGTTGCACTTGAACTGCCCATCACTCTTACGGTGAAACCCACAGATCCTCCACAACCAGCAAGACTAAGACGCAGAAAAGCAGACAGCTTCTCTTGCTAATTTCTGAGTGCTTCATAGATGTAACCTACCCTGCCAAAACCAGATGTGCAGTTTCACTTTCATAACCAGAGTAGCTCAACCTCTCATTTTAACCTCCGTTTAAATTCATGTGAGCAACTCAGAAATAAATCTACATTCATATATTGACCTCCTATGCACTTGCTGAATGAAAAGCACTCTAAAAAAACAATTTCACCTGTACAGCTACGAATGGTGTTCCATAATATTCTTGTGAAATGGACATGATAGTGACTTTTAAAATGGCTAAAAGTCTAGAAAAGTGAAGAGTTAAGAGAAAATTAGCAAAGCTGCTCAGAAATAAATAGTTCCAGTTTTCTACTCATATTTCTATAATAGATAGGGTACAAATTTCAAATGTACTTTAGTATGTTAGAAACCTAGTCTCCATTAGAGATAAAAGCTCTTTTAAGTGTTATGGAAAACCTCAACTGTTTGGAGAAAAAAAAAAAAAAACAACTGCATTTTTCCCAACCTGACTGATAATAGTTTGGCTCCTTCTAAAGTTAAATATATTTCACTTCTTCAGTTTATTAGTTATTGCTAACTAGTATACACCATTTTTATATGGCTACACTGCTCACTAAAGTAAAAAAGAAAAAAAAAATATATATGGAGCTGCACCAGCAGGCCAAGCATTACATAAAAGAAGAAATTGTAATTATTTTCCTGATTTTTTCATGAAATTAGGATTACTAAAAGCATTCCACGTACTATCATAATTACCAGTAATAACAAACTAATGCATTCCTGCAATTTTCAGTCCATTACTTGTAGATTTGTCATTTGTGATTTCTATCTCACAAAAAGAAGTTAAGCATTTTTATACTTAAAGCAAGAATTTATCAACACAAACATAGCAATTACTGAATCTCCTATAAGCCAAAGGTAAAGAATGGTATTTCCTTTAGGTGAGGTCTGAAAGTTATTTAGTGACCTCCACCATTCATAGTGACTACTATGCATATTAGCTGAAAGAGAAATTTTGTATTTTACCAACTACTTTCATGGAGGCTACAATGCTGTGTCTACAAAATACACAAATAAGCAAATAAAATCCCCTTATACTCCTCAAAATCCAAACACCTCTTATTTCTTACTGAGCAGTCTAAAAGCCACGTAAAATGCAATACATCTTTCACTACATTTGGAGGAGCAAAAAATGTTCTGTTCATGTAAAGTGGCAAGTAAACATAGGATGCATTCCTAACTACATGAGTTACTCAGGTCATAAAAAAGTGTGCCAGACAGCACTAGTGACACAGGGTCTTACCCCACATCTCTGACATTCATGTAAACCTCAACATTGCTCCTATTCCAGCTAATACAACTGAATTAGCCTAAGAGAAGCTATCAGCTTTAGTACTGAAAAGGGACTGCCAAGCTTTCTTTGAGCAACAGAACATAGGAAAGAAAGAGGCTCATACTTGAGCCTTGTCTCATCAAAGAAAAAAAAGAAAAGGCAACAAAAAAACCCTGAACCCCAAAACACACAGTGCAATATTCTCAGACTGCTGTTAACTAGCACACAAAGGAGCCTTTTAAATACGTTAGAACAACCCATACTTTTTCTTCAATATAATCACTGACCCTGTAGTCGCTAGCTACTAGCATATTATAAAATGCAAAACTTTCAGAAGTACAGAAATTTTCTTGTTTCTTATGACAATCTAGATATGGATATAGCACAAAAAAACACCCAGAAGTTGTAAAGCCCTAGTTTAGCAGATGTGACCTAAACAACTACACAAGTAAAATCACTAGCATGATGAAAAACAAGGATGGTAATTTAGTTCTAGTGCCTGAGAGCCACTTGCATATTAACATATCATAGCCAATAAGAGGCACAATCTCTTGCTGTAAAGGTAAACCAGTTAATAACTCTGAAAGTTTAGAAGACATTTTAAAAAGCCCAAAACTTTTTAATGTACAGGAGCTTAAACTCAAACTTCTTTACAAAGGTTTAGCTCTGCTAATTGAAAGAGAAATGCATATTGAATACTTCAGCATGTAGAAGGCCAAAGACACAGATGTAGGACTGTTTCAGTAAAAATAAAGGCTCCAAAGCCAGAATGCTAATAACTCTTCCAGGATTCAAAGGCTCTTCCAAGTATATAGGCTACTGCCCTTCAAGTACTTGAGTATCACAGTTACAAGGTACTTAAAAGAATTTTTACCATCAGATCATCTGGATGACAGGGTTTTTTACATTAAATGAATGATAAAATACGAATCCAAGCATGAAACTTCATTAAACCTTGATGAACATCTGAGATCTGGACTAAGTTGAGACTAAGCCACATCTCTTACAACAAAATTATATATCTGGATGCTCACAGATGTCACAATGTCCTGCTCTCATTTAATTTTCTATGCTTTACTCAAGCCCGTTTATTGATAATTAGCTACTGTCCTCTTAGTACAGCTAAATGGGAAAGAAGGGAAATAAGGACAGGCAGGTTCCAAGTGAAATCATTAAACCAATAATAAACTGAAATAGAAAACCAGTCTCAGTGAAGAGATCACAGAGGAAGAGGGATCTTAGAAGGAGAGTCTCCCTTCCAGTGAGCCACAGAAAGGGCCTTTTTTTTCTTAACACCTGGAAAAACAGATTACGACACTGTTTCTCACAGCACTCTGCTGAGGAAACTGGCTGCTCACACCTTGGATGAGCGTCCTCTTCACTAGGTAAAACACTGGCTGGCCAGGCCAGAAGAGTTGTGACTGGAGTTAAATCCAGTTGGTAGCCAGTCACAAGTGGTGTTCCCTAGGGCTCAGTATTGGGACCTACTCTCTTAAATATCTTTACCAATTATCCGGACAAGGGGATCAGAGGCACTCTCAGCAATTCTGCATATGACACCAAGTTGGGCATGAGAGGGTAGGTTTGAGGGTAGAAAGTCTCTGTGGAGGGACCTGGATAGATGGGCCAAGGCCAATAGTACGAGGTTCAATAAGGCAAAGGGCTGGGTCCTGCACTCAGGTCACAACAATACCATGCAGTGCTACAGGCTTGGCAATGAGTGTCTGGAAAGCTGTCTAGTGGAAAAGGACGTGGGGGTGCTCGTTGACAGCCAGCTGATTATAAGCCAGCAGTGTGCCCAGGCAGCCACGAAGGCCAACAGCATCTGCACTTATATCAGAAGCAGTGTGGCCAGTGAAACTAGGGAACAGATTATGTCCCTATACTCAGCACTGGTGAGGCTGCACCTCGAATCCTGTGTCCAGTTTTGGGCCCCACACTACAAGAAGGACACTGAGGTGCTGGAGTGTGCCCAAAGAGGGGCAACAAAGTTAGTGAAGGTCCTAGAGAACAAGTCCTGTGAGGAGCAGCTGAGGGAGCTGGAGTTATTTAGCCTGAAGATAAGGAGGCTCAGGGTAGACTTTATTGTTTCTCTACAACTGCCTGAAAGGAGGTTGCAGTGAGGTGGGTGTTGCTATCTTCTCCCAAGCAGCAAGTGATAGGACAAGAGAAACTAGCCTCAAGTTGAGCTGGAGAGGTTTAGATTGGAAATGAGGAAAATTTCTTTAAAGAAAGGTTATCAAGGAGTGAAACGGGCTGCCTAGGGAAGTGGTGGAATCACCATCCCTGGAGGTATTTAAAAGACCTGTAGATGTGATGCTTAGGAACATGGCTTAGTAGTGGACTTGGCAGTGCTGGATTAAATGGTTGGAGTTGATCTTAAAGGTCTCCTCCAACCTAAATAATTCTATGATTCTATGTTTTCTGGTTTGATTCAAGTTGCAGACAAATATGGGCCAGCCACAGACCAGAGATTTTAAGAGAAGGGGTGGGGGCAGTGTTACCTATTTACTTGAATACCAAAATGGTCAAGTTTAATAACATGATTAACAAATTTGGTACCAGATAATTGCTCTGTATTTATCTTGGCATAACAAAAATAAAATTATTTTCCATCTACCCTCAAATCTTCTTTCTTACATACTTGGAATTTATGTAGCATTTTTGTAAGCATTAAATAACTGCATTCTGTAGAGCTACATCTGTTAAGCAAGATTCCACTAACAGGAGGCAACTTATTTAAGGATTTAATTAGCCAAACTCCTCCCTTTACCCAGGCTGTCCCTCAAAATAACCTATCACATATGCATATAACCCTACCACAGATGAACTATTTTTAGTATATTTAAGAATTTTTATTATTTTTTGTAAATTTAAGCATATAGGACTATGTTACCGAAACAAGAAAAACAGTATTCTGAACACAAACTTTTATTCATATTACTTTTTCCCTGAAACTGTCTTTTAATTATCATTAAAGAGCCAAACCAGAAATTATAGTGAAAAAATACTGGAAATGTTGTGTTTAAAATAATTTTAAACATTACTTCATAAAAAATATATAGCAAGTAATTATTCTTAACTCAGTACATTATGTCACAATGAATGGGTCAGTCAGAATTATCCATATAAACCACAGAAAGTCAAAGAAGTTGAGTGTATCCTCATAACATAAAACCAAAATAGAGCAAAGACAAAAAATAATTTAGGTGATCTATTGTGCAAGAAAGCAAGCCTTTCAGAAACAAACAGATGTCTACCTGTTGGAGGTCCAATGTAATGGTCACATAATGATATTCAATTCCATTCTGGATACTAGGGCTTTGCCACCAAGTGTTCTTGCCATCAATTGCATTTGTTATCGGATGCCGTTCTGTAACAACAGCAGATATACATCAATATATGTCAAAATAATTGGAATGTTCAAATGGCTTTAGAGATAAAACAGATTTTAAAACAATTACAGAACTAATGAGGCAGTACTTTAAAATAAAACCAGGACATTAATTTTTCTTTTACTCTTTTACATGACCGTACAATCATACTTGTTATTACTAGAATACTCATCTACTGTTATTTAATTTTGGTTAGGATCACAGGAAGGTGAGTCAGAACATCTAAAAGCACTTGGAGGCTCTCCTGAGTACAGAGAACGTAGGCATCTAAATCAAGAGAACACTTCTTGCCATCTCCCAAGGTTTCAAGTACTATGAAGTAATTACATGTTGCAACAGAAACAACAAATCGGGAACCTGAAATATGGTGTGCAAGGAAACCAGAGATTAAAGTAATACTGGTACTTGCATTTCCAAGACATTTCTAAGTACACATGGATATAATTCAGGAAATAATTCAGAAATCATTACAGAGGAAATGATTCAGAAAACATTACAGAATATATTTCTCAACTGGAAAATTGTCTGACTCACCTACATGCATATAAAGAAGGTTTGCTTGGTTACAATACATATCAAAGCCCAAGATGCATTACTTTTCACATCTACACTTACTATGTTGCAGCATCCCAAATGAATCCCAAGTAATAGGGATAAAAATTTATTTACAGAATTCAATTCTTCCTAGATTTCAAGATCTTCTAAATTATTGGCATTTGCTTATACAATATTTTCATGTTATTTAGGCTGAGAAAAATTGGACTTAACACTTCCCATCAATTTATGTTTCTCTCCTCTACAAAACAGAGAATAAGATAGCCCTAATTTTAAAAGATAACAAGCATCTATATTTTCAAGACCCAAATTGCCTAGAGCAACCTTGTACATTATGGAGAAAATAGCTCAAAGGAGATTCAAATACAGCAGAGTTCTACTACGCAAGTTCCATCTCAAATACTTTCACAAGAAATCCTATCTGTCTCATAAATGACGGTTTTCTAAACTGACAGGTTTTCTTGATTTAAAACTGGAATATGCTTCATTAATACCTAGTCCTGGAATTACAAATAATTAATTAATTAACTGATTAATTTATTTTTAATTTTAGTTATTACTTAAATTAAACAGCCAGATTGATAGCCTTTGTGTCTCTGGTTTTATATGAGATCAACCACCTGTGGAGGACAGCAGTCCTAGCTCACTAAGGAAAGACAGCATGTCTGGACATATTTAAAGACAGTTTAAATGCTTTGTGAGACTGAGGTAAGGTACAAGCCTTCAAAATGGAAAATGTCAAAAATTTCATTTAAATATCAGATTTTTCAGTGGCAGTAGCGGGCACCAACACTTGCAAGTTAGAACACTGGTGCTACAAGTGATTTTTTTAGTAGCTTTACTTTTATATTGAGGAGAAAAGCAAAACACACCCATGATTTAGATGTTGTCAGTTCCCACAGCTCTGATAATTTTCACAAAGCTTGGCTTTAAATGAGTGCTAGCAAAAAAATGACCTGTAAATCAACCTCATAGCTCCTCCACGATTGTGACAAAAGCTGTCTAATTGAAAAATTTTATATAAGTCTCTTCAGGTTGAATGGATATAAAGGTAAATCATGACAGAGAGTTGGGAGATGAATCAACAATTAACTGTAATAACCATTATGAAAGTTTAATTGTCATTAATTTGAAAAGCCTGATTAACTGCTGGCACATTTTGCCTATTTAAAAGTTAAGGGAAAATAATATTAAAAAAAGGACTGGATTGCAAATGCAGTTCAAGGACCAATCTCCCTGATGGATGGCAAGGAGAGAACTTAAGAGCAAGCCCATCAAACTGTGCTCTTTAATTTGGACTCACATGTGATTAACCAGGGAATTTGTGTTCATTTCCTACCACAATAATTAAAGGGAGGCACTCCAGACTCACACATTCCAGGGGAATCATTTAAAGTCTGGTTACATTACATGGTTCTCCTATTAATGAGCCATCTCTGTTTAAATAAGGCACTTCCTTCTGCCAAATGAACATTTAAAAACCCTATAATGAGATGTGGCTGGCAACAGAAGACCAGACATTATGAAGCTGGGCAGAGTCAAGTTTTTAAGAGGGCAGGAGTGAGGGGAAATGTAGATATAAATAATTCAGATGGGGTTTATTTATATATACACATATGTATGTTTATGTGTATGCACATACATCAGTGTACACTATCTGATGTCATAGGCAGGACATGGGAACAAAGCAATCCAGCTCTGTTTTACATTTGGTTTCTGAATTAAACATAATATAGAAAAAAACTTGTATGATGTGCAGGCATCTCTAGATACCCTTCTATAAAGAAGGAAAATAATTGATTGCACAGTGCTTCTGTCAGAGTGGTTTAAAAACGCTTTGAAGTCTTTTCTGAAACACACTACTATAGAATAATGTATCTGAATGCTTATATTGCTACAAAATCATATGACCTCTCCTCAGAAGGCAGTATTTACTAAAATTAAAGATATTGAAACTTGGAAAACTATCTTGGGAAAAAAATAGATTGGAACTGTGTTCAGACAACTTAAGTCTATACCGGAGCAATTGAAATTAGCTTGGCAAATACAAGACGGGGAGCAAATGGATAGATAGCCTTTTAGTAGGAAAGCACCTGGGGATTATAATGGAAAACTAGCTAATCGTGTCCCACCATTAAGAAGGGAAAATATTTAAGTAAAGCTCGTAAACAGGAATATATTCTTTTCGTTCTGAGGCAAACCTCCATCTCTATGCAGTGCTAGTAAAAGTTCAGGTGAATTTTAGTAAAGATGAAAACCTCTAGAAAGAATTCAGAGTTCTAGAGAATACAACCTGTGAGGGAAATGAAAGAAAAGACATGGTTTAGTGTAGAAAGCAAATAGAGCAACACCATCGACCCTCAATCAAGTAAATACTTTTGTAAAGAAAAAGGGAATAAACCAATCCTTTTCTTTACTGAAGTTGGTAAAAAGGTAACATGAATTTCTGCAAGGAAGATGGAGATAAGCTATTCAAACACAACTTGAAAATGAGTAAAATAGCTCCAAGGAGAATGTCCCTGGAAGGAAGTTCCAAGGAGAAGCTAAATAAGCTTCTGTCTGGAAAGCTACAGACATAGATAGCTCACCTTCACATTTAATCCATCTGCTAGCTCTAGACATCTGTTTTGTTGGTTTGTTGGTTGGTTTTGTGTGTTGTTTGTTTTTTTTTTTTTTTTCCCCTCTGCTTTTAAGCACATGCTTAAATGTGCTTTTTCATAATGTGTAAATATAGCTGAACTAGGTTTTTGAGGGAAACAACTGGAAAAAAAGAGAAACTGTCTTCATGCTTATGTGGATGTTTCTACTGATTTTTTATCTATTCAAGTAAAAGCTGCCCTAGGTAGCTCTAAACCCTCTACTATTTATAGTGCCAATATACTCAGAAAAATCTAGCAATGTTAACGCTATTCATGTCTTTGACTGCAAGGTCACATGAAATTAAACTCATATGACTAGGACATTTTCTTAGTTCTAATCTTCTCAACTATTAGAAATATACATCTCTGAAGTAGATGATAAATTTATACTTAAAAACTGATTTTGCTTCTGCGTAGTCTTTAAGAAAGAAGTGTTAGCAAAGATCAATTTCCTTATAAAAAATTAAGCAATTAAACCAAGCAGTGCTCCATTATTTTATCTTCTTTTTGCTAGCTCATTGAAACTCAATTAACATCAAATGAAGACAAAAAATATCCTAGAACACAGTCAAATAAAACTAGAGTTAGCCCTAAATTGAAATTTCAGATGTTGCTTAGTGTGGTGGGTTGACCCTGCCTGGACACCACGTGCCCACCAAAGCTGCTCTATTGCTCCACTCCCTCAGCTGCACAGGGAAAGGAAAATATAACAGCAGGCTCATGGGTCAAGATAAGGACAGGGAGAGATCACTCAACAATTACTGTCATTGGCAAAACAGACTCAAGTTGAGGAAATTAATTTAGTTTACTAGCAATCAAATCAGGGTAGGGTAATGAGAAATAAAAATTAAATCTTAAACCACCTTGCCCCCACCCTTCTTCCATGGCTCAGCTCTGCTCCTGATTTCTCTCCTCCCCCACAGCAATGCAGGGGGATGGGGAATGAGAGTTGTGGTCAGTCCATCAACATGTTGTTTCTGTTTCTCCCTTTCTTCCACGAGGTCACAGCCTTCTTCAGGCTCAACCACCTGCTCCAGCATTGGGTCTTCCCCATGCTTCAGGTGGGGATCTGCTCCATCGTCAACCTCCATAGGCTGCAGGAGCACTGCCTGCCTCACCATGGTCTTCACCACAGGCTGCAGGGGAATCTGTGCTTTGGCACCTGGAGCACCTCCTCCCCCTCCTTCACTGACCTTGGTGTCAGCAGAGTTGTTCCTCTCTTTGGCCGCAATTGGTGTTGTGCAGAGCTTTTTTTCCCCTCCTTCTTAAAAACGTTATCAAAAAAGGCACTACCACTGTCATTGATGGGCTCGGCCTTGGCCAGCAGTGGGTTTATCTTGCAGCCAGCTGGCATTGGCTCTACCAGACAAAGAGGAAGCTTCTAGCAGCTTCTCACAGAAGCCATCCCTGTAGCCCCCCTTCTAGCAAAACCTTGCCATGCAAACCAAATACACTTAGACTGGTCAAACCAAATACACTTAGACTGGTCAAACCAAATACACTTAGATTGGTCAAAAGGTTCAAATTCAGCATGTATATATCAAGAGAACCCAACAACAGCTGTAGATATTTAATTTTCCTAAAGCTGAATTCAGGTGCTCAACTTTAAGAATCTGAATTAGAAAGTTCTGTTACAGGAGTATACGTAACAGATACAGATTTTAAAATGCCAGTGAAAGAGATGGATAACCTAATTTAAAAGGCAGATATTTCATAGTAAATCAGGCCAGTGACCTACAGCTTTGTTTACCAAGTATCTACAACCTTTGGAAAAGAATATTTTGAAAGGGACAAAATTAAAGTGGCACACGTACGATGTGAAAGCCTGCTCCTTTGATCACAAATACGGCACTGAGGATTCCTTGCAGGTTGTCCAGGTACATGCTCAACAAGTTTGCAGTACATCTCCCGGCCCTTTTCTCCACAGGTAGCATTGGTTGTGATGAGAGCATTAGTAGCCAGGTTCAGCACTGCAGGAAACAACCCTGCAAACAAAATAAAATAAAATCATAAACAAAAGCAACAGAGGCAAAAGCAAGGTGAGTTTAGCAGAATAATCATAAATGAGGATAACATCTGTTACAACAGTAAAGCAAAAGGCTTAGTTTTCAACAACTCTGCAAATAACCAAGAACAGAAAAGTACCAACAGCTTTGAGTCCAGAATTTAGATATCAGAATAAAGCCATTATATTGACAGTTTCCTCCTCATTGCCTTCTAAAATTCAAATTGGTACTGTCTGGTGGTATCCTGAGTAACAACAGCATGCCAAAGGAGAACGTGAAGTATGGAAAGATTCAAAGCATCATAAATTATTTTTCATCATATTCAAACCTTTTGCTCCTACCCAACTGGACATTGAATCATTGTATGCGAATTACCTATGAAATCTCTTTATTGTTCCTCTTTTCTATACATCTCCATGGGAAAGCTTTTCCTTCACAGACTGCATCACTTGTATTACACTATACTACTGTTCTGCTTAAGACCTCAGTCACCCTTGTCATCGCAGGAGCTGAGCAATTCATGCAGCAACATGAACAGCATCTGTGGTTTGCCTTTCCTCAGGAAGAGGATAATATATACAACCGTATATCTTTTACAGCAGTACTGTTGTTACATTTTTCAGGTGCACATGCTGAGTGATGTATTATAATTCTTACTTCACACAGCACTTAAGCACATGTCTGAGTGCTCTGCTGAACTGAGTTCTATGTCACAGTAAGCTATAAAGACTATAAACCATATGAAGAATAATCATTAAGGTGGGTTACTCTCCTTCCCACTAAATACTGATCAAAACCTTTGAGCTGTGATAAAATTGAGCCATGAAGACAAAGTGATATGATATGCTGAATGTATGCATTAGCCCCTCACACTACATCTATCAGTTTTGCATGGCATAGTTTTCCATGGCTGCAGCATAAACCAAAATAACAACCAAAATACATCTGAGGTATGGCTTGAGATCTTCTTCGTATTTATTTGATGACTATTTCCACTAGCCCTGAACTCACTCTTTGTAATTCATTCAGCTTCTAGCTCTGTTGTATTATAATCTTAAAATAATGCCTTATTCAAAACTGAATCTGCGATTATTGTACACTGTTAAAGCTCCCTTTATAATGACTTTCCTTTTCCTCCTCTGCAGATGGACAACACTATTCAACTGACTCTTTTCCTGCCTTTAACTACTTTAACTCTAGTTTCCTGCCTTGTCTCTGCAATTAACCTGTATGCCATTCAATTACCAAGCTTGGGTGGTGACAGTACAGCTGTCCTCTGACATTGCAAGCTAGTGACTCTCATGCTCACTTTAAAAACCATGTTACTTACTGTTTGAGTAAGGCAACCTGTAACTAATGTATAGTCAATCAATAGCTGAGATTTTACTGATCGTGCAGCTTGCTGCTGTACAGTTTACAGCTCACTTTGATCACATTTTAAAATTGAAATAGTTGTTCTAATATTTGTATTCAAAGCATACAGTGATATTTGCTCCCTTCTACAATGGGGGCATGTAGTAAAAATCTGTGTAAGCATTAGCAAAGGAGAGGAATTAATAGCTGTGGAACTTCCTATGTTGACTTACAGCCTCATTATTCTCTTTTTAGGCTGTACAAAGTTAATAGTGTAAAACTCAGTAATCATTTAGGCTTAACACAGGGTCTGGCATTTGGTTCTGAGAGAAGTATTTTATTCCCTCAGAAGTGAACCTCGTAAAAAGGACAGAATGATCACACACACAAGGAATTTTAATAACTTAAAAATTGCAATTAACAACCACATATCTGAGCTTTTTAAAAGAATCTTTCTTTATGAGGAGCAGGGAATTGGATTCAATGATCCTTATGGGTCCCTTCCAACTCGAGATATTCTATGATTCTATGATATTGCTTTGTATAGGCCAAAATAAGGCTTCACTTTTAAAGAACATTTGATGTGCGAGCCTGATGGAATGAAGCAATACTGTTTGTACTGCTTTCAGAAAATAATGTATATTATACTTCCACAACATAGATTCTAGCAAAACAGAAGATGAAAGCATTGTCTTGCACCCTTTTGTTAAGCTCTTCAAATAAGAAATGAAAATGTGAACGTGCATGATGCTAATATATACTGTTTACCCTTTCTAATATTCCCATCTATCCAACCATAAATCCCCAGGAAAAAGGCAAAAGAGCTCAAGACACTACCATACTTTTTTTTTACTTTTTTTTTTTTTTTTTAACTTTACTTTCCATTACGATACTTGTACAGAGGAAATGTTTTTAAATTGGTGTGCTGTTTTTGTGCATCTTAAAATCGAATTTCTCACTAAATTATAAAGCTTGTTTAGTTATAAATCCCACCTTGAATTGTATGGGCATCCTGCTATGAAATACTTCCAAGAAGGTGGTCTGCTATAATTACAGACAGCTCCTCTTTTTTTATTGCCAAATATCTTCAGTAATCATTTGCGCCAGTGCAAAGACTGGGTAAAATGCCTCTGAGTCAGAAACACATTATATCTATTTTTTGTAGTTCAACTGCAACCAGAGAAATTCTACTCCCTTCAACTGTCTTCTGCTGACCACTTGCTCAACACAGAATGATATTATCATTAACAGGCAGACCAGCAGCCAAATTCTTCCCTCTGCTACCACATCACACACCAGAGATCCAAAATGCCAGACAACCAGAGGGAGGAACAAGTCACTGCACTCACCCAACACAGTGGACATGAAGAAGGGAGCAAGCCAGGAAAGCAGCCAAGCCATGGGAGATGGAAGTAGTCAGGCCATGATCCCAGTTACATAGCAAGGATTCAGAGACAGCTTCATGTTCTGGTCCTGCCATCCCGGGAACTCCACTTGCCATGAAAAATCAGGGAGCCCTTCCCACAGCCAGAATCCCCACACAGCACATGTATGTACAACACATGTATGAACAGACCTCCCAACCCCCCTGCAAGCAGTGTCAGCTCTTACAGAGGTGGCTTTTTGCCCCACCTCCACATTAATGCTGAAGGCAGGGGCACCCAGTGGTGATCTAATCAGTTCCCACACATGGCATACCAGGCCCTGGGTGAAAACCAGTCAGGAGGGTCTTTCTGGCCTGGTTGTGGACATCATCCATATGTCAACCCTCATTCAGGATAGGAGGTTTAACTCCAGCACTTCAAACTTCCAGCTACATCAATCTTTTCTTTGTATCACTGGTAAAAACTAGATTAGCATTCATTTCTACCAGTAAAAAAAAATTAAAATTCTAGTAATGGCACAGAGGAAATATGTAGAAAAGCGTGGCTTGTAATTAGGCAATGGTTTTAGTAGCTTGGGTACAATTTCTGCTTTTCAACAGACTTCTGTTGCATGAAGAGAAGAACACAGTCTCAGATTCTCACCTATGAAATGAGCATGGTTATCTTTCTGTTTTGCACTTCTTTTTTAAGTATGGAACATATTCCCTGGAGTTTTTAGAGCGTGTAAGCCTGATAAACAGTTCACTTAGTATTGGCAGGTGATTAAGTTCTAAAAAGAAAATAAATTTTTTTGAAGTGATGTACTGGCAAGGGTAAGCAAGAAAGCTGCTCAGCTCTCTACAGAATTTGTGATTATGTGTTTACTACATATTGTCAACACAAACCATTTTAGAAAAAAAAACAAAACTAAACAAAAAAAGCAGCTAATTAGTAGAAATGGATAATCTTTCCTACAAATGCTGATGTACTCGTGTTTTATACTGTCACTGTTAGAGTTAATAGGGTGTACAACACAAGTGCTAACTACATTATCAACTTTTTAAATGGTTCCTGGACCAAAACAGATCTCAATATCTCTCTTAAAGACAAAAATTGTGGATGCTTGGGATCAGTGGTTTTTTAGAGGCCTCAAAAGTCATCCCTCATCAATACTGAAGTTCTTTGTAGACACTGGCAAACATATAGGTATATGTGATTCACCGAGTTCAACATATTTAGATGAAGAAGCAAATTTTGACAAAATTCAGCAAAGGCCATTAAAGGAACTGAGCTATCATGACACATGAGGGAATAACTTCTCATGAGACAAGAACAAAAAAAAAGGAAAATGGGGAGCAATACTGGAAAACCACAGCAACCTTTGCTGAGTCCTGTTTTGTTCAACAGTTGCGTAAGTAACTCAGAAAGATGATAAGAAGTAAGGTGTTTATTGATGCTAGAAATAAATCAAAATAAGGACAGACCACAAAGAGTAGTAGAAAAATGACAGTATGATGTGTCTATTCAATAAAATGGAAGATGAAATCAATGAACTGAAATTAATACACAGCAGGTAAATATGATATCCTATGCACTAGCTCTTATCACCTTTGAAAGAGTCATTATGGATATTTCAATGAAAATATTAGCCTAAGCAATAGAAACAAAATGTCATTACATTACCACATAAATCCATCTATAATAATTGATTTCAGTATTTACTGTATGATATTCCTTATGCCTCATCTTCAAAAGGACATAGCAGAACTAAAATAGATAAAGTGTGACAAGATCACAGCTGTGGATCAGCTTCTGAATACGGACATTAATAGCTTATGAGTTTTCAACTCAAAAGAACTGATTGTGAGATGTATGAAATGATGTAAATGTATATAAAATTGTATACAGGTTTAGTAAGCGACCATTTGAAAGCAAACATAGTAAGTTTAGCTACCCTTCTACCACAAATTTGCAGTGCTGGGTCAAGTTATTATACAGAAGTTTTCTCAAGTAATTGGATTATTTTGTCTGTTTATAAATGGAACTGCTTTTCAATATGATGGAAATTAAATTCTAGAATCCTTGAATAAAATCTATAATAAAATATTTTCATTCCAAAAGCAGTAATGAATTAAAACCCAATTAGATTAATACACAGAACAAGGTTTCATGTAAGGTTGTTAAACATGAACGGCTTGGTGTTCAATTGTCAGTTCAGAATATTCCTAAATCACGAGCTGTTGCAGGGTTTTACCCAGGCAG